AGCCAGCCAGCCAGCCCAGCACCAGCCAGCAGGTTGCCCTCCCTGGAGAGTGCGTGCTATAATTCCTACCTTAGTGGTTCCATTGTGTTCCTTTGAGTCATCTGGGGTCTCCGGTGCCTAGTTCCCAACCCTTCCATGACATTCTCTGCTAATCAGTGGATGGGGTCTGCTTCCTGGCCGAGCAGCACTGCACGGGCCCCTTGTCTAGCTGTGGCCTTCACAGTCTTCTCTCCACCCTCGTAACTGTGGCCGCAGAGGGAATCTTTCCAGCACAAACATCTCCACTCTCTCTGTGATGAGTTTATGATTAAAATAAACAGCTGCTTATTTCTTGCAACACTGAGGCAAAATATGTATCCCTAAATCTGCCAGTCACTTTAATTTTTAATGTTTGTGAGATGGGAAATAAATCGTTGTGAATTTTGCAATCTAACATCAAATGGCCTTGCGTTGAAATTCTGCTCTGGCTGTGTGGCCGTCAGGAAGTTACCTTCCCTCTCTGGACCTGTTTCTTCATCTACAGAATAGGGGTATATAATAACGGCTGCCTTCCAGGCCACTGATAAGGATTTTACACAAATGGGAAGTAAGGACTTAGAACAGCTGGCTGCATGGAACAGTGGTGGCTTTGCTACCCTTAGAGAGCTTACCCTTTCCATTTCTGAAGGTAGGTGGACTTGCCCTGTCTTGGCCTTGGACACAGAGAAGCCAAGGCACTGTCTGGGCCACCACCTGGAGCCCACATCTGCCTGCCCTACTTCCCAGCTGTGTGGAAAGCGCCCACGAATGGCTTCAGGTGCAGAGACAAGTCTGGCTCCCCAAGTTCCCGTGGATAACGCACATCTGTGACCTAGAGGCTGGCTAATTAGAAGACCGCTGATAGTCTAATTTCCCGGTGCTACCTGAATACTCACTTGTTCCGTATTTGCAGAATAGCACGCTCCCTGGAGGAGAGAACGATTCTTCTCTACATTATCTATAATTATAGTAAATCTCACACTGGTACAACTTGCTGTTCTTCTCTGGAAATGTTCTGGGTGCAGTGAACTCCTTGCTCACATTTAGGGGGCTTTTCCTGTGTGGTATTTTGAATATTGCTCACCCTCTCTGAGCCTGACTCCTTCATGTAAGACTCATTCATCACACACATGATCAGAGGAGAACTGATACAAAATCCTTAGCGTTTGAGTTGGCAACAGGGAGATGAAAACGGAGGCTTGGCCTCTGAGTTCTGACAGTCGTGAAGCTTTTGCTGCTTCATCTCTTTTCACCCTCCCGTCAGTAAATGGTTTTGTTTCTTCCTTTGTGAATTCATCTCTGCTCAGCGCCACCTTGATGTCCCCAACCTTCACCTCCTCTGCAGCTGTCTCCTGTCAGACCGGTGGAGGAACTGCTGGCCAGCGGAGGGCTGGGCGAGCAGGCGGGCCCCAGATAGCAGACTGATGCGAAATGTCTCTTTTCCAGTAATACAGAGGTCCTAGAGTCATTAGGGGGACGGGAGCAGAGGTGGTGGCAGTGCTTGGACGCGTAGAGGCAGCAGATGCTCTCGACCGTGTGCCTCGTGGATGTTATCATACGCACATCAGTTTCATTTAGGCCTCCTCAAAGCTAAGGAGCACGCGAGATGGTTGATCTCAATTGTCAACTGGATAGAGATGAACCATCCACATGTCAGACTGTAGTAGGGCACATTTCTAAGCGGGCCTGTGAGAGTGTGTCCGGAGATGATTGGCATGTAGGTCAACAAATGGAGTGCTGAGACTGACCCTGATTTAGAAGACACCATCCAATAGGAGACCCAGATGCAAGGAGCGGAAGTTCCTGAAGTCTCCTTCCGCTCGCTTCTTCTCCTTGAGGGGTGTTTTCGGCTGCTTCCTCCCCGCAAGCACGTCAGGCTCCAGGTTTAGTAGCCGTAGAGCATGGACTTGCATTTCCTCCTTTATACACAGTAGAAGCTTAGTAAGCAGTGGATAAATGAGCGAAATATATACTGTAAGTGCCGTTTATATTTCCATGTGCTTTTTAGCTTCGACCTTCACTACCTTAAGACTGAGTGGCCAGTGGGAGCGTTCTAGGCCTTACGTCATCACGCACAGGGAGCGGCTTTCTGCAGGGTCTTCTGTGACTTTTGCAACTCACACCATGCTGACAAAGCCCAGGGGTCTTGGAGCTTGGAGAAAGCCTCGGTGGTTGTGGACCACCCTCCAGGCATCCTGGGACCCGGAGTTTTTTGTGAGCCTTCTGGGGGCAGAGGTTCGTGGCTTCACAGCTCTCTTCCCCATGGCTCCCAGAAACTAGGGAAGAAACCAGACAGCGTATGTGTGAGTTCTGGATTATCTGGCGTTTTGTCAACCCGTGGCCTCCACCCTGTAGCTCTTCAGGGACTTGTTCCTCTTGAGTAGCCCAGAGAAGCAGATCACAGGAAGAGAAGGTGAAGAGAAAGATTTCCCGAGGCATGATCCGGTTCAGATGAAGGCAAATTTTATAACTGCTGTTCGTATGTAGCTAAGGTGCCGTGGTCATGGCCCACATGGACCTTCTGAGTCCCTGAAGAAAGCCAAGTGTACCCTTTGCGGGGGAGGGGAGCGATGCTGTGTCTCCTGAGGTCCCTTTCAACCCACACACTCTTGGGACTGAGTTGCATCGCATTCTTCTACGGAGCCACAGTTGGATTTCACACACTTTTAAGGCTTTGCAGCTCCACTGTAAAGAGTACTGCACTGTAGTCACATTGTTTGTATCTCAGGCATGCTTTGATGCCATTTCTAAACAATACCATCTCAATAAGAAAAGCCTGAGAGCATGCCAATGAGACAGCAGAGGCTCCTGCAGCTCTGCAGGGTAAAGCCCGGGATTGAGCTGCTGGGAGGAGGAGGAGGCAGGCAGCGGCACTGGTGGGTGTGAACCAGGGAGGCAGACACACCTGCTGCTCTTGCCCAGGCTGCTGGATGGGCAGAGCAGGCTCGACCCATCTGTCTGTGCAGTGTGCACCGGCCAGCTCCCCAAGGGCTCCCCGACTCAGCCTGGCTTCTCTGTGATGCAGACCAGGCCACCCCAAAGCTGCCTGCAAACTTTCCACTGAGTGCTGAGCCAGCTGCAGCTTCCTGCTCTGTGGGGAGTTTTCCCAGATCCCAATCACAGCACAGCGAATTGATCTATTAGATTAACCGGGAAGGAAAAAGCGGGAGAGTGAGCGCGGAGGTTGTAGGGCTGAGTTTTCTGTGTAGCAGGCCCCTCCTCTTCTGACTGGAGTATTAATTGCTACATTACTGCTGCCATGTAGGAAAGACAGTCAGCAAAGCCTGGGAGGGCTCCAGCTCCTCCCTCTCTGCTCTGCTCAATTTCACTCCCATCCTCCGGTCTCCAGGAGAGCCTGGTGCCCTGGCAGTGCTGTCCCGGCCCTGGCAGCCCAAGGTTCTCCCGTGGTGAGGACTTGAGTGGACAGCAGCAGGGGGTGGAGAGAGAGAGAGGGAGAGTTTGCCCTGCAGGCTCTCTGGATGCAGAAGCTGGACTTGCTGCAGAGGCAGCTGTGCTGTGCTGGGAGCCTGACTTCTGGGGTGCACCCATCTCTCAGGGCTTATCCAAGCACGCGAGGTGGGTGCTGTCCCTCTTGGACACTGACAGCAGCACCTGCCTCCCCTCTGCCACCATGAGCGGCTGCTCTAAGAGATGCAAGCTTGGATTTGTGAAATTTGCTCAGACCGTCTTTAAGCTCATCACTGGGACTCTCAGCAAAGGTAGGAAGACTGGCCTTGACTCTCCTTTTCTGTCTTGATGTGGTCCGGCTGGTCACATTGCCTAGGTGTGGGTACAGTGGTCATTTTGGTGCGCCTCAGTCTCAGAGGAGCGTAAGGGAAATTGGTGGCAGGGATTTGAGGTTGCTGACAACCTGGGTCCTGGCTCTGAGAAGGCGGGCACCCCGCCAGGGAGCTCAGCCGGCTATAATTGCCTGGAACTTTAGAAAAGGAGTTGGTGGTGTGTGGCTGATTGGTTACAGGCAGGTAAAGGAGCAGAACCCTTTCCAGAGCTCAGGAAGTGACTTAGCATGACTAGAGTTTCAAGAAGTTTCCACAGAGTATTGGGTCGTGTTGATAAGACAGATTTGATGCAGTGGGCTGGAGTCATTCTGCACAGCAGAGATGCCAGAGAGGGCCCACTGGAGGGGGTGGTGGGGGTGGAATCTACCGCACTGGCAAATCCAGAATCCGGATCAGCTCTGCAATCACACGCCCAGAGCCCTTTCTCGTGGGACTGCAGGGTCTTGTGCTGTGGGGACTTTGTTCATCATTCTGCCTTCTTGGATCTCATGCTGGTGTTGATGCTTGATTTTCCTGCTTCTCTAAGAACTGGGGTGGCAGGCAGTTTGCCAGATTAACTCTGTACACTCCCAGAGAAGGTGGCTGTAAACCAAAATTAGGGCTGCATGTACATTGAGCAGGGTCTGCAGCCTATTCAAAGGACGGGGCATGCGGAGAGACCCAGACAAACTTTCTGGAGATAAATTTGAAGGGAAAGCAGCTGCATGATGTGTGGTTCCAGTAGCTGAAAAAAAAATGCCTTTAAATATTCATGCTTTCAGAAAGAATGCATCCATGCGGGGAGAGCCATTGGAAGTGACAGGTAGAATATTCAGGGAAGAAAGCGAACAAACCCTTGATTAGGAGTTTGAAAAATAATAATGGAAGAAGGTAAAGGTGGAGGGTGGCGAGCTCTCCCAGCCCTGCTCAGATTTCTGGCTTCCCAGGTGCTGCAGCCTATGGTACTTTGTGTGGTACTGTGGTACTGTGGCATTGTGTGGTAGGGGATACATGGGCTAGTGGGAAAATGTTGCTTATCTCCTTTCTCAGACCATTTTGGCATTCCTGTTCTTTCTCTAGTATCTTTCTGAAGTAGGATGTGGCCCCGTCAGGATTGCCAGGTGGACTGAACATCTAGTGTTAGGGGTCAGGCTGCCTGGCAGAATAATTCCAGGATGGAATGTGATGAATGGGTGACAGTCAGGCTTAGTGGCAGCAACTTTCAGTGGCTTTGCTTCCTGCAGGAGGAGTGAGCAGGAGGCTGGGAGGTTTCACAAAGTTCCCCAGTTTATCCTCAGAGGCTTTTCTTCCTGTGTCATAGATATCAAGACCTCTGGGGTATAGGGTGAGGAATAGTATTCAACCCAATCTCCACTTCCCAGCCGTCCACCACAAAGAGCTGTGGCCCAGATGGAGGAAACACAGGGCTTGGTTCTGCCTTTGCTACCTGGGAAAGCAATAGCCTCAGGTTTTTCATCTGTCCATTACCTCATTTCCTGAGTCCATTTCCTCCTGCCTACCTACCTCCAAGCACTGTTGTAGAGTTCAGGGAAGTCTAGGCATAAAATCCCTTTGCAGACTGTCTGTGGGGATGACCAGATGTCAGGAGGGGTCAGGGGCTGAGATGGCGTAGGTCTTCAGTGTGTGACCCAGGCCCATTCTCCATGCAGGGCAGGGGTCAGAAGATCTTGAGCTCAGCTCCCTGCAGGTGGGTCTGTAGCCTCAAAAGGGGCCTGCGATCGCAGCAGGACATTATGCAACAAGACAGATGCTGGTGAGAAAGGGAGTCAGCCAGGGAGACTGTGTGTCCAAAGAGGATGATGTGCATGCATGTGTGAGACAGAGACAAAGACAGAGACAGAGACAGAGACAGAGACAGACAGACAGACAGAGAGAGAGAGAGAGAGAGAGAGAGAGAGAAGATACGTAGCTATATGACTAAATGAGCACAAAGATATGTCTTCTGTGTATTTCCTATGTCATTTTCCTCCACATTTATTTTTGGGCACTTCCTGCATACTGAGCTTGTTGCCAGATGCTGGACACCTGAATGAAGAAGACAGAAGCAGGATGTCAGGAAGCACACAGGACGCAGACTGGAGGCACTGCTCTAATACATGGACGTAACTGGGAGATCCCAGCAGACACCAGGGTGCAGGCACTTGGGGACCAGCAGGAACAAAAAAAGCTTCCCAGGCAGATTGAGGGACTCCTTTAAAATGTAGCCTCTAAGCTGAGATGAGAGAAAAGCCCAGACTGGGCAGGGGAAAAGAGGTTGATGTTTGTATAGATTGCAGCTTTGGAATGTCAACCTCTGCAGAAAAACCAGCTGGAGGGACAGGCCATCGCCTGCCTGCTCTGAATCCCAGAAACTAGGATGCATAGGACATGGAAGAGGTTCTGTGGGGAACCACTGTGGGGGCAAAATGCCCAGACCTGCTTCAGCACCAGCTTTCCTGAAGCCAGGGTTCGGGAGGTGGCAGACACTGGCAGAAGGGAAAGCTCATGTTGTTACTGCCTCCATACCGTTGGCCTCAGCTCCACCACGAAGGGGACCAAGTGTTTACACAGCCCTGGCTCTGTACCAGGCATGTGCAGGGTAATTGGTATTCTTTCCAACCTAGGTGGTTGCTGAATATTTGTGAAATAAATGATGACCTATGGGCCAGGCCCATAGGAGAGTAGCTGAGAAAGTTCTCCATGGAGTCCAGGAAAAGCTTTCCGATGTGTGGACTTCCCCAAGGTGGATTTAGATTCCATCCTACATGGATGCATTATGATTGCTTGGTGATTTCTGGCTTTAATTGTGATATCCTTTATCCATTATTCATTGCACTGAGTTTTAGGATTGTAGTGTTCCCAGCTTTCCAAAGGATTTTTCTTCCTCCTTTCAGGATTGGAGAGTCAAAGCTATCATCCCAGGTACCTCTTTTGGTCCTGTGAGCAGGTTTTTATTTCTTGTTGCTTTGGGGAATAGCTGAGAAACAAGGAAGGTTTGAGACCACTCCTCCCTCTCCCTTGGTGACCTCTCCCTGATGCCAGCACCCCTTCTGCATTCCTTTAAGGTCCCTGGTGGCCCAGATTTTTCATTGGTGTCACACTGCAGAGATCATCAGTTCAGGTCTCTCTGTCATCAGGCTCTGCTGATGTTGAGCTTTTCTTTCCTGGCTTTGATCAGAATTTGTGATTCCTGGTTGTTCCCAGAGCCTTTGTGCCAATGGCTGACCTCCCTTAGGCACTATGAGGTGCGATCACACATTTCACCCACACTGTAGCCAGAGCTGAGAGTTTGGAACTCAGATCAGAGCAGGTGCGTTACCAGCAGTGTTAAGGGAACAAAATGCACTGCATGACAGAGATGCCAGCCAGTAGCTTGAGACGATGGTTGATACTTTGCTGGGTATGGGAGCTTTCTGGGCAAGATCACTAGTCCTCTCTCCCACGCATATTTACTAAACACTGTCTGAACTCTCTCCAGCTCTACAGAAGCTGTGTCTGTGGCCAGAAGTAAGCCTCCAGCCACACACAGCATTCAGAACTCTTCTAAGCTGAAACACACCCCAAGAGGGAGGCTAGGCAGGTGGGCTTCTGGTATCCTCATTTCTACCCATGAAACTCTGAATTTATTTTATATATTGAGTTTCTACCCAATTTTAAGAATTTCTTTTGATTAAAAAAATCCTCCGAACCAATTGTAGTAGGTGTGCTCCTGTCCTCCTACTTACTCAGGGCTGACACAGGTGGATAACTAGAGTCCATGAGTTTGAAGCTATCCTGGCTAACAGTGAGACTGTGATTCAAAACTTAAACAAAAGTTAAAAATATTGCGAGCCACAAATGCAATGGAAGCCGTACTGGGAAATCCCAGATCCCTCAAAGATAGCTGTGTGGGACCTTACCTCTCTGACTTCAGTTTCCTAACCAATAAAATGGATCATAGCACCCACCTTATCTTTATCATGTAGGATTGAGATTCTAACACTCCCTGTGTCCTAGATGTTACCAGAAGCCCACCCGCCCAGCCTCCCTCTTGGGGTGTGTTTCAGCTTAGAAGAGTTCTGAATGCTGTGTGTGGCTGGAGGCCCACTTCTGGCCACAGACACAGCTTCTGTAGAGCTGGAGAGAGTCCAGACAGTGTTTAGTAAATATGCGTGGGAGAGAGGACTAGTGATGCTGCCCAGAAAGCTCCCATACCCAGCAAAGCATCAACCATCATCTCGTGCGTTATACTCAGGGCATGTCAGTTGATATGACTGCTATTAAAGCTGATACTCTGGACAAGGGAGGGGTTGGGCACTCAGGGCAGGGGTCCCCGTGACCAGTTACTCATTTCCTCAGTGTCCACCACAGTCCCTCAAGAACCCTTTAGGAAGCTGTAGAGTTACTGGATGATGTTCAACCATTTGCTTCCTTCTGCCCTGCTTGCTTTCTCAAGAACCTGCCTGGATCCAAGATTCACCGCTCAAGCATCTCCTTCCCTAATTCCCTCCTTGTTAGGAGCTAAGAGCATGACTCCAGAGCCAGGCCTTTGCCTGCTGTTTAACTTTGGAGACGCCCAGCCTGGCTCAGATGCCAGCGTAGATGGGGGCCTGGGTACCCACCTCTTCCTCTTCTTGCCTAGCCAGTTCCCTGAGCCCTCCCAGAGAACAAGAGCCCAGAAACCTGTTCCACTCCAGCTGGGAAGGTTTAACGCCAACTCCTGCATGTAGGGAACAAATCTTTTACCCCAGGTGCATATGACAAAGCTAGAGCAAGTAGGAGGGAGGAATCTAATCAGGGAGATCTAGCATGGTCCAGGCCACCCATGAGGCTGTGGGGAGGGGAATCTGGGAACCATGATCTGTGTCAGGAACAAAGTTCTGCAGCTCCAGCCCCCTTCTGCATGCAGCCCAGGGCGGTCCTCTCTGTGCAAGGCAGGACCTGCCGCAGACCTCTTGGAA